GCGGCCGAGTCCACGGCCGCCCTCCAGAGCTCCGTCTCCGCTGCGGCCGAGTCCATGGCCACCCACCTGGGCCCCCTCCTCGCCTTTGCTGGGTTCCTGGGCACCCACCAGAACTTTCTGCCCTCCAGATGTACCTTAGAGCCATCTAGTGACTTTTTTTGTTATTTCCCAGGGGTTCCCTGTTGGGCTTTGTTTTTTGTCTCGTGCCCTCCATCCTGTCTTGGTGTTTTGTACCCCCCACCACCCACCTGTGCTAGTCTGTTTAATCGTCAGGTGACGATTCGTTGAGAGGGGGTACTGTGAGGATGTGTGTTTTGTCAGTCTTTGTTATCTCCCTCTTGTGTTCCCTCATTGTTATCACACTTTCCCCTCAATCTGGTTCCTGCTGTTTAATCATCCTCACCTGTTTAATCATCCTCACCTGTTGTCATCTCCAATCAATCCTGCCACCAGGTGTTCATCATTTCCTCATTCCCTCTGTTTGTATATATACTGGTCTTTTACTCCACACCCTCACTGGCTCATTGTTTGGTTTACCCAACTGTTATGTTTCTCCCTTGTTGTCATTGTTATTTAGTTTTTGCTGCCTTGACAGCTTTTTGTTTATTTTTGTCAAAATAAACATTTTTCTTACTAAAACTCTTACCTCCGTCCGGATTTGGATTCTTCTCCTAGTCAAAACTTAACAATATAAAACTCAAAAAAGTTGACTTTACATGATATTGCCCTTTTAAAACTGGCTATCTGTCAGTTTAGCTAATTTGATGTGTGTTGGTTGCAAAGACTGATCTACCAGGTATAATCTGAACACTAACTGATCACCAATATATTTAACATTAACTACTGAAGTAAAGTTAGCCTGCCTCTTATCTTATTAACTACTGAACTGATTTCAGTAAAACTCCGCATATATGTGTGTGAAATTTACAGATACTGGACTAAAATTTGGTGTGGTTGTAACTGAGAGTCATTAAATTTATCGTTTGAACAAAATGCCTGCAACTAATTTCTCAAAAAAGAAGATATTATTTTTGTCCTTGGATAAAACAGATGGTAAGAACCCTGCAGCGTCACTCTGTCTATTTCTAGCTCACTGTCACATTTTACAGTCCCTGAGCTATGCTAGTTCTTCAATCTACTGATTAGTTAAGAGCTGGTGAGAGGTGCACATGAATTTCCCACAGTCCACTGTCATCCCACAGGCATGCATGCAAACATACAACTTGATAAAAGGCCATTTCCACTTTTTAAGCCAGATTTCAAGATCATCTGATGAGAAATGGAGTTGTAGCTGTTTTATTAAAAGCCTAAAAACATGATGCATTAAGTTTTAGCACCCAGAGAATTTGTTGTGAATGACTCTCAGCTAATAACAAACCAAATCATTGTTCAAAATCTGTAAAACTAATTGCTTTTTAGCCATTCTGTGATAGCTAAGGTTGAATTTGGTTGACTTTAAAAGTGATTCAGTTGTGGATTAACAATGTTTACTTTGAGAGTTTAATTGACGTCTGTCCAGCAGTTCATGAAATATTTTGCTGACATGACAGTCAAATGAACACATACAAAACACAGACAATGGGGCAAAACATTATTGCCTGCATTTAACCAATGGGCCATGGTGAGCAATTTGAATTTTTGCTTGATTAGACAGATTGACTAATTTTTTGGATGAGGAGCTGAGCACCAAATGTCACCAGATGTAAATAAATTAGCCACATGTGAAGTCCTGCAATTTTCAAGGTGATGAAGTAATCTTCCACTGAGGTACAGAAGGGGATCGGTCACAGAAGAGCAGAAGGAAAAACAGAATATGGTGTAGTAACAACTAGACACCGCAGAGCAGTAACATAATGACCCCCGCACGCACAACTGTGCCAGAACCCAGGAGTCTTTATTCCTAATAAATGCCATGCTACTAGGTGCATCCCAAAATCATTGTGGCTTGGGAGAGGGTCTTTTTTTGGGGGGCGGGGGGTTGACCTGATGGATAGCCCCTCTTCAGAGCTAAACAACCAAAGAGAATCTGAAGCTCTTATGTTAGTTTTTGAGCAATAACCATTTTTGTATGTCCAGATACCAATTTTTTCAGATAAATTGGGGGTCCGGGGAGGTGGGGGCACTGCTTGGTGGGCCTGATGGATAGCCCTTCATCAGAACTAAACAACAAAAGAAATCTGAAGCTTCTATGTTGAACAGTTTCTGAGTTATAAGCATTTTTGCATGTCCAGACACCCCCACTTTGAAAGGAGCCCCCTCCTCAAACATGGGCTGTATCATAAAACCGTTGGCTGGTGCAGTGTAGGTCAGACTCATCTACAGTCCTGCCAAGTTTCATGTTGACCAGTGCAACCATTTCTGTTCTACGGTTGAACAAAAATCTCCAGAGGAAAAATAAACTAGATTCCGCATAGTGGTAACATAATGACCCCCGCACGCACAAATGCACCAGAACTCAGA